AAATGAGGTACCTACAAAGTAAAATGCAAAATGAATCTTAACAATGTATCAATAAGAAAACAAGATATATTGTTATATTCATGTATATTTATAAATAGGTAGGTATACAATGATACATTGTATTGTGCTAGGCTATAATACACCTAAGGCTAAAATGATTCTACTTATCATACCTTTTACTCACCTATATAAATGTGTATTGAAATAATAATCGTAATCACAAACTCTAAAAAGGGGTATCTACAAATTACAAAGAGAAAAACATTACATTTAAGATTTCACTTCTTTGCAACACATGACACATTTTTAGCTTACTATTCTGTATGTCTTTGAGTCTAATGAAAAATATATGTAAATTGTATTATTAAGGTGGGTAAGTAGATAACGTAACTAAAAATATGTATACGATATACAGTTGTATAGGTACCTAACTATACATCCATACAGGTTAGGCACCTATAGTCTATGCCCATAGGCATATAAAACGTGTTAAACAAACAAAATTATTGTATAATATAATTATGAATTATGATGTACTATATTATTATAAATCATAATATGATATATTAATATATTTAAGTACATAAGTATACGTCTATATTAATATTTTATATAGGTAGGTCGGTAGGTATCAGATATTTTATACCAGTAGCATAAACTCAATACTCATATTATACTCAATACAACATGTCAAACTACACTCACACAAGTACTTGACAGTTGACATTGGCATATTTATGTATATAAATATAGACATCTACCTCAAAATCTATTAGTACTAATTTTATGGGCTCTAGCAACTAAAGACCTTTACTTTTAAAATACTTTAAAATACCTTTAACGGCTTTAACTCTAAAATCTCACTACAAGCGGTAATAGTAGCTTTTTTCAACTTGATATACCTACCTATATTTCTTAAAACATAAATCCCCTCATAATTCGGGATTTAAGAACTGTAAGATACCCATAGATACATATAAATATATAATAAACATGTTCAACAGGTTTCAAGAAAAAGTGCAGTAGCTTGTAAGTAACATTATAAAGATTACATTAATGAGAAAAAAGGTGAAAACGAAACTAAAAAGATGTTTCGACCTTGACCAAATAAAAATTCAACAACAAACTATCCAATTTGATATAAAATGGATACTGGTTAACAATCATAATCCTACATTACGACTTTACGAGAAACCTCCTATATGTATACTGTATTACTGTGCATAGAGACAGAGGCATTCTCTACAATTTAAGTTCAAAACCTGATCAAGGGCAAAATTTTTCGAATAACTCAAAATACGACGAATGCAGGGGCGGCTACAGACATAGTTGGGTGGAATAAGTCATAATTTGCAGAAAACTTTCGATATTATAATAATATGTTTTTTTGTAATTTTGTGATTGTCAATACCTATATACAATTTTTTAGAAATATGAGCTTGGTAGGGGAGGGAGCATAAGGCATAAAGCGGTAGATAACCATTCATGGACCATTCAAAATGGTATATAATATGCTAATTAGGTAGGTATCTTTATAATTTATGCACCGCACGACCACGCTTTTACTAAAATAATTGCAATTTTGTGTTTCCTAATAGCTTACAAAATATATTTTAATAGGTAAATATTTTCACCCATTCAGTGCTGTCACGAACACACTTTTTGGGGGTAATTGCCTCCAAATAATTTTAGGAAGGTGGGTAATTACTGATTTTGTAAAAATATTTTTATATTTAATCAACATTATTGAATAATTGAAATTATGTTGGTATTGGTATATTTTACTGGTTTACTCCAGGATTCAACAAATATAATGTGTAAAAAACCGTGCTGGGAAAATAATATTATTGGTTAATATTATGGGTATTTATATTATTGGTAGTTATAGCCTACCTAAAGGTTAAATAATAAAACCCTAAGATATAACAAACTGTTAAATTAATGTGAGTTGATATTGCACATATTTTGGAGCAAATCACAGGAGTGCTAAGGATGCTTAGCACCCTAAACTTTAATGCTAGCACCCCGAATCTCGTGATTACCTTAAATAATAATTAAAAATCTTGAACATGTGCCACTACCATGGGTCAAGAATCAAGATAGACTATTGGACACATCAATGATCCACATAGAAAGAGTTATAGATAGGTATAGTACTTAATAAATATCCATTGTAATTACATACTGCTCATCATGACGAACTTTCAATTAACAAAATGTTTAACTAAATATATTTTTTAGAACCAAAAGTATTTTATCTTACACAATTCTCTATAGGTACCTACATAACACATTTTTTTCTAGTTTCCCGTGAGGCCATGGGAGTATGAGACTTCGACACTTCGTAATATGGAAGTTTCACTGTGCATAATATCAGGTATATAAGATATAACTTATTACTTAAGGCTATATAGGTACCTACCTATAATACGCCTAACTAATGTTAAATATAAATATAAGTAGGTATTAATGTATCATAAATTGTGAGTACCTAGTTGCGAATTTAGGAAGATATAATCATTAATCACAGCTGAGCTATGAGATAGACCGTAGACTACTGTGGTTGGATTTCTGAACTATATAGAAGCCAGTAGGTATAAAATTATATTATCCTATTATTGTCAAACTGACACTAGGTACCTACTACTGTAATAATATCTGAGAAACAATTATTATCAGTACCGAATTAGGTATGCATTACCTATATTTTTCTTTTTGTTGTTACAACTTATAGTTGCATCGTTGGCCCAATACCTACCTAATTGATTAGGTAGGTTAACTAAAACTATTTATAGATACCTAGGCACTTATATAGGTAAGATATTACGATGTACCTCTGGGCTATGAATTATCTTATGCGGACGACAAGCCAAATTTTCGTTCTCTAGTTTTAATGACATATTAGTAGGTATGATACTATGATGTTTGTTTTGATGTTAAAGTGAATTGACCTATTATCAAACTTTTAGATAGGTAACCAAGAACTTTATCTGTGCTTAAGCTTTGACAATGTGTCCGATATTTTAATTTTCATGTAAGATAAGGCCGTAAGAGTGTGTGAAATACTCAAATAGGTACCACAAATTAAAAATGCTCATATCTGATATCTACCTTGAAAATATTAAAATACCTATTGAGTAAAAAAGCACAGATAATATAACATGTTATAATATAATATACCTAATATTTTCCTACCTAAAAGTTTGATAGTAGGTAGGTAGGTAGGTAAATTAAGTTTAATATCAAAACTAAACACACTAAGTATTGAAACTAGTGTTCTAAAATTTGCGAAGTCATAAATCATTAATATGTTTATAAGAAAAAGAAAACACAAAACTCATAATATGTTTGTAAGACAAAGAAAACGCAACATATAGCACAAGCCACAAGCACATAGGTAGTAGGTACCTACCTATCATAGTGTCAAGTAATAAACTTATCCAATTAAAAAATATTTTATACCAATAGCACAGCAGTAACATAATACAATATATTTATTATTTTATTCGTATATTTCTGAGTATCTGACAATATTCTATAGCTGTATATTACATCCCTTAGATAGTTATATTGCAGTTAGCTGATGCAACTTATAATAGGTAATTATTATTATGTAGTTATCAGTTTGTACCTATGGGCTTTGGCTATGAATTATGATTCATGTCTCACATGACCTTATTTTGATTATTAATAAAACATTTTTTACCAACAACAATTTTCAAAAATAGTTACTGATGTGTAGGTACATATCTGTTTTTTGCTAATGTTACCGGAAATTATTATGATGAATACCTACTGATTACGCACTGTCAAGAGAAGCGAAGAAGACTCAAGAATGGCCATAAGTAATAATGAAATTGCCCGTTTTATGTAGGAAACAATATTATTTCTCAGTCATTTTCGACAATACCTAATGATTGTGAATATTGATTAGATTTTATGATCAATGGTTCTTTATAGGCAATGTGATGATAAAACCATAGAAGGGCAACTACTTTTTATAAAAATAAACAATTTAAATAAATCATAAACCATAAATGTACCCAATAAATATTACCTAAATATCCTAATTACTGTTATTGTTAGGTAGTGCGACCAGCAACATGCAGTAGTCAGTTGTTTGGATTAAAATCCATTTTTCGCCATCACTCATCAGTACACAATGTGTCATAATATGTGACAGGATTAATGGATGTATAAATGGATTAATAATATTAGATAATAGTTAGATAACCTTACTATCGCCTTTCAAGCCCTCAAACAGTTACTGGAAACCCCACCATTTCAAAAGACAAAGTTGGAAAAGATAGCTGATAGAGCTCTTCATGTTTTGTACACTAAACTTGTACCTGCTTTAAAACCCAGTACAGTTGTACTTAGTTATATAGTTATAATATAATACATTGTACCAAGTACATATCGTATTTATAAGCAAACGATAACCTAACCCATTAAGATAATAAACAATACAATACAAGTATCAAGTGAGTTGCAAGACTTCCACACATATGGTAAATTTTCAGCTTGCCCAAAAGTTGTTGTGTTATGCATACATTTTAACACTAAAATCTTTTGCACCAGTTTGGGTTGGATTAGAAAACCTACTGTATTAAATTATAATAAAAAAAACAAACTATACTATAGGTAAAAATATTAGTCAGTGGTCTTTAACTGGTAGGCTGCCACCCAATTTTCGGTCATTTGAGATTTATGTCAGTCGCAAATATAAATAATAACTAAAATGGGTTGAGAGTGTTATATGAAGACCACAGTAATTAATCATACCATGTCCTGTGATTTGACATTTTTTTACGTTTTAAACATTTCACTTTATGAGTTTTTGATATATTATCAATACATAAAATATTTAAGCACATTCTTTAAAAGCATAATAATTGACTATAGGTATATGTTAATAATTACAAATATGAACATATTATTTAAAGAATACACAAATTGAATTACAATGTTTAGACATAATTATAAAATGTTATATCTAGTAGTATAAAAAAAAACAATTTTAAAGTTATAACAAAAATAAAATTTATCAACCAAAATCATTAAAACCGTACATTTTGCTGTCGTTTTTTTCTCCTTTCCAATTTCTTTTGTTTTTTCTCATTTATTTCTGGTGAATTTTCTTCTGGTGCTTTTTGCATAAAATAGGGTCCTAAAAAGTTTTTCCATAATATCCAGAATGCTTGACCAGGAGCCTTTAAAATATAATTCATGAAATAACATCTACACAATTTTACAGAATTATTTTTTTTCAACTTACTAGGAGCCACAGAAGCCAAAAATAATTAGAAATAAGAGATAACAATTGGCAACCTGATGTTAATATAATCAAGTCCTTGGTATGTCTAAAATAAAAAAAATATTATGTAGATTAAATAATATTAAAATAGTTAAATATCCATGATAATTTTTTTACAACAATAATGCTATATTATTACTCAGCTAAACCTCCTTCCATGTTAAGATCTGTGCCTGCATCTAGTAACTGACCATTTTCAGTAAACTTAGCAACTGACATGTATGCCATAAATTTATAGCTACCACCATGTGATGCAATAACAAGAGCATATAGAAACTGTAAAAATAAAAATATTTATTGAATAATATTATTACAAAGTTAATACTCAAAATAATTCAATGCTAATAAAATAATTAATGGAATTTTTATGCAATGCATTAATTTAAAACTAATTAAATGTTGTACAATAATAATATTATCTACAATTAATTCTAGTTGAACTAAATTAGAATAGAGGAAACCGACCACAGCAACTATAGACTGGTAAAATTAGTGTAGCCATTGTCACACAGCACTAATTGTTCTGAGTTCTAAAAAACTATTAAGAAAATAATTTTAAATTAAGACCTCCAACAAGAAAATTAAATTATCCAGCTTAAAAAAGAATTATACGTAACACTGTTATATTAAATTGTGACCAAGAGAATATAAATACTATTTTTTTTTTTATATATTCTTTGTGGTCATGTAATTTTAGATTGAATGAACAAATGTACTATAGTTAGTGATTTTCATGTAAGTTGCAGCTAGAAATCATTCTGAATCATATTGATGGATATTTTTGAAAGTAATATTGTTTTATTAATAAATATTATTGTTTTAATTGTTTATACTAAGACATAATTGGATATAATTAAATACAAAGATTAATAACAATTAAAAGAAGAATTTTTCATCATAATACTTAATATAACTTAACATTTTATTTTCTTCGTAGGAAATTATAAAACCCTAACCGTTCTATTTACCTTCTATACTTTAAATATTTACCAACACAAAAAATCTTTGACCTTTCAGAGAAGGAGAAGTTTGCTTTTATTTCATTAAATCATTGACTTTAAGTAATAATATCATACTTACAATGTTTGTCAGAGAAAAAACATTTCCAAAAGCCAAATGAACTATTATGTATACAGCGCTAACTGCTCCAATCATATTTCTATAAAACTTCAATGTGGCCTCGTTTTCCTCAAGTATTTGTTTTTGGCCTTTAGTGCCAGTTTTACCTTTTGGGGGCTGTTAGAAACAAATCAAATGTATATAACATTAGTCCAGTAAACTATTTAAATATAAGTATTTACTAATAATATAATTACATACCGCCATTACTAGAAGTCTTTCGATTAATTCTTAACAAAACACAATTATCTCTATACAGCATTCGTCACTAACTTTTTTTGGATTGAAAAACTAGATTAGTTTAACTTTTCCTTTCTATTTCGAATTTTAATTTTGAAGTTGTCACTTGATAGTTGATAACACAGCTAAACTTGTTATCAGTGATGTGATAACTCAACCGGTTCTACACACGTTCGTGACGCGTGTAGACACGTCGTTTGTACCAATGTCTCCGTAGTATGTCCGTGTCACAGTTACACTGACAGTTGATAGAAGAGCGTTACCAACTGCTATATGTGATGTCAAATTTAATAAGACATTTCTGGAATATAAAATTATATTATTATTTTTAAGTGATGCTTTCAAGTTTCAAGTTGTTGCATCTGATATAACTTGAAAGCTTACACATTTTCCATCTAGTTCTGACAATTTTACCTCTCATAATACACGTGTTAGAAAAATGTAAGGTGGGACAAACTTCGTTTTAAAAAGTACAGAAACATTTCAATAAATAGTTTTTCGGTAACGCTCATTAAAAAAAAAAAATTTAACAATTGTTTTTTTTTTCAAAATGTATGGTTTAAAACTCCCCAACGGCTCCATCCAATAATTTCTCTTAAATATTATAGTTATTTTAGAATACATTAGAACAATTAATATTGTTTTGTGTCCGGTTTGTACCCTGAAAATAAATATATTTTGTCACGATCACGGTTACATTTAATTTTTCCAGGCCCAGACCTAATATTTATAAAATTGATACCACAGATTAAATTATCACAGTGTATGTTTGATAAGCTCGCATTGTGATAAGTGAGTTGTGTTGTTAATTGTTGTTCTTTTGCTCACGTGCTTTCGTCTGGTGATACTGCGTCACTATATTTAATACGTTCAATCGTATTTCACACTGATTCACAGTCAATTCTTGGCTCTTGGTCAGTTATTACTACATAATATTTATTTTACGTTGATCTAATTACAATGGCCAAGAGTATAAGGAGTAAGTGGCGCCGGAAGATGAGGGCTATCAAGCGGATCAGATATGGCGTGAAGGAATTGGACAGATTGAAAAAGATGCTGGTGAACGCCGGAGAAATAGAAGTCAAGGAAACTGGTGAAATTGAACACGTTTGTTTAGGTAATTTATTTTCTTTCATTAAGTCGCTTATGGGATATAATGAATTTGTCGAGTACAAATAAATACTCTTGTAAAATGGGCATTTGAGAATTGAGATCTCCCCGATATTTATGTTGTTTAATTACGCAGTACAGTTGTATATTAATGAAAGTATATTGATATCTCGCATCTTATTACACCTCTTAAGCCATCATTATTATTTTCTCTTTTGAAATATTTTAGGTTTGATCGATATCAGTTTTATTTTGTCAACGAAATACCAACATTCTTATTTCTAAATAAAAGGTGTGATAAGGTACTACTAACAGATAATTCCCTTAAAATTTGATATATTTGTACCAAAAACATATTTCTTTGTTAAATGTATAACTATTATAATATGGAGAAAATAGAAAATGTATTTATTGACTTTGTTAATTTTGGGGCACTCTATTATATAATTAAATTTTTTTTTCATTTTGAATACATAACAAGGATCTTTTAAACAAGAATGTAAATGTGTCATACTTACATTATGTTAACAAGTTACAATGTCTACCATTTACAGTTTATTTTTGACTAATAGTACATAATATATTGGTATATAGTCTATACTAATGTTTAATATAAAAGTTTAACACATTTCGATATGACAATGCACTAATTAGGTCTTGCACATAGACTAATAAATAGTAATCTAATTGTTATATACTTATATATTCAGAAAATTCAGTGTCATGTACTAAACCATTTTAATTAGCATAGATTACATACCAATATATGCATTAACTGTATGTTATGTTAGACATTGTTCATTTTTTACCTGAAACATATGTCAAATGTAATGTTTCACATTTATAATGTTGATTAATTTAGTAACTGGATATTTAAAATGTATAGTTAGTATTAAATTGAATGTACAATTCTTTAATCTGTTATCAATTTTTAGTCAAAGCTAAAAATGAAGAAGCCGAAAAAATTCAACTAGAGAAGGAAGAAAAAACTAAAGTGGATAAAACTGTAGAACCATTAAAGGAAACAACAAAAAAAGTTCAACACCCAACTTGGCTAAGGAAAAAGGAATACAAAAAATACATAAGGAGTTATAGAAAACAACAGTCAATCAACGCTAAAAGAATAAAAGGATCTATTAAAAAGAAAAGTATTGCCGTAAAAAAATTGTAATTTTTGACCATTTCAAGAATAAAATATTTCTGTTTAAAGTTTATCATTGAGTTTATTACATTTTCAACTTTGACAAATTTAGTACATGATGATTATATTCTGTATGCTATGTAATGGACATCTATAATTTATTGAGTTATGATTATGGATTAATTTTTTAATAGTAAAAATAATTTTTCTCAGAACATATTTTTGTGTATAAATAAATTCAACATATTATTATAAATCCTTTAATATAAATCATATTATAGCAACAATGATGGTTAAAGAAAATATTATAATTGGATTACTTAACATAATAATTTAATAAATTAAATGAAATGAAAACTTTTGATTTTAAAAGTCTCTAATACAGGACAGCGATGTTGAATATTTTGGTAAATTATAATAGGTAAACTCAATAATTTATTCAAACAAAACATTAACACAATACAAATTATATAGGTACAAGTTTGAACTATTTTCTTGTATTTCTAGAATAAAAAAATATTTTGCAACAATTGTAAATTTTAGTTTTAATGAATTAAGAGGATTTATACGGTTATTTTTAACCCATCACTAGTAGTGTGGTTTTGATGCGACATTCACTCATGAGTGTCGAGGGGTAACCTTTAACGCCATTGTTTTTTTATATAAAAATCGATATCTTCAAATATACACATTTTAAAGAACTAAAAGTTATAGACGCAGTTAAGGTTAGTTGTATAGGTTCATTTAAAGTTTGTCTATGTGAATATTTACATTGCGTGAGAGTGGTGACAATGACCTGTTCATAATGGAAAAAGGAATTCAATGTAAGCCAGTTTTCTAGATATGTGTGTGTAAAGTAAGTTATCAATTTTAAATTGAATCATAATGTTTTGATTTATATATTGATGTAACTTTACCACTTATCAGTTATTATTAACATAAATGTTAAACCTAGTTTAAAGCAATTGATTGCCTTGTTATGGAGAATGAACGGTTGTACTAAGAAAAATAATACAACTCCATAAATAATTTTCATTCTCAATTCAAATACCTATTAGTAGTTAAGCACTTAATTATAAAATAAATAATAAATAGCAGCAGTGTCAAAAAAATAAAAGCATTCATTGAGCAACTTGCGACATAGTTAAACTGTTCTATCTTTCTATCTAGAGTGATCGATAAATTGGTCAGGATTGAAAGTTAACTAGGATATAATAACAAATGGCTAATTTTTGTTGAAAAACAAATTTTTCAGTGATTATTAAAAAAATGACTAATTTTCTTAAATTAAATCACTGAACCAATTTCATTCTATTTATTATTTTGACATTTGTAAATGCATTTTAATAAAGGGCAACAATAGGAACAATATTATAGTATAACCTTTTTCATATTACTAAACCATACATTTATTTTAGTATTTTCCTGAACGTCTTTGAAAGCCAAACAACCTTCAATACTTGAAAGAGTACCATACACAGCTAGATCGGCTAAGTTTGGTTTATTACCTCCCATGAAAGTTCCACCATTTTTTTCCACTGCATTCACCCATATATTACATTCTTCATATAACGATTGGCGTACATCTTCTTTTAGCATATACCTTAATCATTGTACAGTCATAAATTATTCTGAATAATTAAATATTTTAATAAAATTACTTTTTCTTCAATTTTTTACTAATTAGCCACATCATAAAGGCACCACCATATACCATAAGACTTGTTTCCCAAAATGGAAAATTTTTCTCCCATTCACCTACTATTGAAAACCATTTAAAAGAGTCAACAGCTTCTGATAGAGTACGGTAAGCGTTTGGTGAAAGTGCATGGACCAAAGTATCATCAGACCATTTACGCCATTGTCTTTCATTACTAAAAAAAAATACTTTATTATGCTAATTAGTTTATTTCAAAATAAAAAAACTTACTCAAAATTCAAACGTTTTGATTTTTCAGATTCATCTTCATTCATGATAAAATATTTGTTCATAATGTCTGTCTTTCTCTTTCCGTCTACATCAACATATGATATTGATGGATAAAAATTTGCAATATCTTCAATGTTGAATGTTTTATCTTTTAAATAAGTAGCTAGAGCAGATACGATCATTGTGCTATCCGTAAGTGGTTGGTAACCATTACTCGATTTAACTAATAGAATGGGAACTTTTTTATAATCTGACCAACTTATTTGCTGTTTGAGCATAGGGTCTACTTCAATGATATCATACGGCACCTTAACATAATCAAGAAATGCTCGTACCTTACAACAAAATGGACAAGTTGGATACTGAAATAAAATAAAATCAGCTTTCTCATCATTATTGTGTCGTACCTGAAATTATAAATTACAAATACAATCAATTTAAATGTCGCTATAAGTTTAGAGTAATGGCATACCTTACGAGTGACCTTCAGATCGGTAGGTAATGTTTTCAAGATTGGTATTTGTGTAGGAGTATTAACTATTGCACCAGGCAATTTTCGCTCTGAATCCGAGAAATATGAATATGCTGCTCCAACTACGACACCAATGGCTACACCACCGCCTATTAAACGTACTGTGCTGGTACGTTTTTTAGCATGTTTAGCTAGCGGTGACTCACTATTGAAATGTTTTGAACGAATAAATGTATTGTTTATACGTAATAAAGATGGTCCTCCAGTAACTGTTTTTAAACGGGCAACAGCCACACGCAGTGCCATTTTGTTATTTTATAACTTCACTTAGATACCTACAAAAAAATGTATTATGTATGTATCTATACACTTGTAATTTAATTAAAAACGGCCAATTTTAATTAGGTCAAATATTTAAACTAAAAAATAAAATAACTAACAAGTAACAACTGCAACTTAAAATTAAAATTATAGATCAAAAGATCATTATTGATATTTAAAATTTAGATAATCTATTTAATCTAATGACAAATATCAAAATTGAATAAGAGTTTAATGTCTATAGATTACAGATTAGTGATTAGTACTTAGTAGATACAGAATTACACAAATCAAAAAAATATAGTCACCTTATTCATATCGTTCAACATTTTTGTTTGGTTTGTTGTAATCTTGCATACACTGTCTTATCAACTCTGCTCTGGCACATGTTTGTTGATAAGATAGGATTAAAGAAATGATTTTGAGTGCAACTTACTGACTACCGACATCAGATCTCACGTCTTCACAGTTTAATTTAATATTTCTAAATTCCTCTTGAAGTTATACTTCCTTAGTCATGGCAGGTAAAATGATTGACCTAAAAAATTTGAACGTGCAGCAACTTGCAAAAATGAAGGAACAGGTATACAAAGAAGTGAGTTTAATACAAGACTCATTGCAATCTTTGAAGATAGCACAGAAAAGGTACATTAGTTCACAAGAGGCACTGGAAAGTGCCAAAGGACGACCATCTGGTACATCCATGATGATTCCTTTAACCAAGTCCATGTACGCCGCTGGACAATTAGCCAATCCCGAGCATGTAACAGTGTGCATAGGTGCAGGATATTTTTTAAAGCTAGAGATTGACGACGCAATTCAATACTTCAAAAGACGTGTCAACTTCCTTGTGGAACGTATGGAAGGCATCCAACAGATTGGGTTAGAAAAACAGAAGTTACAGAATGTTGTTACTGAAGTACTAGAGATGAAAATACAACAAGCTCAAACTGAAAATAAACAATAATTATTATGCTAACCCTTTTTTATTATTTTTTCCTAACATTCAATTGATATAAAACTAAATATTTTGTTTTTAATACTTATTAAACTAATCAAATTGTCTTTGAATATTTTCTGTAGATGATTGGTACTGCTTCTTGTCCTTCTTATCAAAGCATATTTTTTGTATCGAATGAATATTTTTTACTGTCAGCAAATTTAATATTCATGTGTTAAATTATTGAACTAAAATATTATATGTATTTAAGAATCTAACAATTAAAGTATATATCAATTATTAATAGATCACATTTTTAAATATTTGAATTGGGAAATCATTCAATTATCATATGTATATTCATACAAAATTACAAAAGTATGTAACAGTAATAGACACACTATTGATTTACTTATTTATAGCAGTGTTTGTATATTTTATGGTAAATATAAGGGAATGCTAAATGTTTTCTGCTAAGCTAACTGATTACCGCCAAGGCTTAACCAGGCGAGTTTTAAATTTTAAAATCAATTATAGTTTAAAAATAATCTTCCTATAAAAATTTATTACATTAATTATTAATTAATGATTGTACATAATATATTAATATGTAATAATTAACAACACATTTTTATCTAATAAACAAAATATAATACAATGTTGTTATGCTCTTGCTGTATATTTTATTGTAATATCATCTGGATTAAATAATTAACAATTCAATCCGAACCCAGAACATCTACCTATTACATGCTATACCTAACTGTACCAAGATTCAATATGATGTCACAAAAAATTCTTGCAATTTTAAAAAAGTTAATTCATATAATTGTTTTATATATAATAAGTGTCAACCCATTACCTATTGTATGAACCATTGTTTTTAATTAAATTATTCTCTATTTCATATTAAGCTTACTTGCCAAAACGCTTAATATAGCTTAATATATTATGCATGTAAATTGGTAGGTATTTTTTGCTAATAATTATCAATTATTGCTTTAAATTTAGTTAGTATATTGAGTCATTGAGACGGCATCACTCTAATCTTTATTCTGTGCTGTATTCTACAGCAGTGGATGATTGAAGTAGAAAATGTTTCCCCAGTACAATTTTTAAATTTCGGGAATTTAGGCAACGAAATTTTCAGGTCTGCGGACTACAGTATTTTGTAACTCTTCATTTTTTGTACTTGATTTTGCGGTTTGCAGAAACGCCTTAACAGCGTAGTGGTAGGTCCGTGCCCCGTGGATGGCGGGCGCCAATGGTCATAAGCCAACCTCCCCCAGGCGCGGATCTAGAACATATTTACGGGGGGTCGTCTTAAATAAAATTTCAGCTTAAGTCTGATAAATACATTCTACATACTATGTAAGCTAATAGGTAAATCTTATTATTTAAATCCCAGTTTAGCTTAGATTAGCTTTTTGAAGGCGACCGATAAAAACGGACACGGCCGAAACAATGCTTTTTATCGGCTGCCGAAAATAAATAAAATAGAAAATTCACCAGAGTCTACGGGAGGCCCATTGCCCCGAGCTACCCCGCCTATTCAGTATCTTACTCGAAGTGCCATGGCCAGACACCAAGAGTCCAAGATCACGACCGACCGGAACACCCCGGGTCCGGACTCCGGGTGGATCGTGATTCGTGACACATGGACACCCGACGCGGTCATTGGAAGGATAATGGATACTAAAAGTTAAAACCAAACTGTCTAAGCTGGATGCAGTGTTCTGTAAGCGTTGTCTGTTATAGGACATGGCAACACTGTATTCTGGTCTGATTGTAAGTTTATAATCGATATATTGTCGTATTTAGAATTATCCTCTGGAAATCGGCAAGCTACAGCTGTCCCAGTCTCCTGTCGTATTATCGTTTACATAATACATAATACATATATATATTTTCATACACGATACACCGACCGCCGACACGCCGTGGACGGTACCAATTAATTGGTTAAATTAAATTATTGAATATTGATACATTTCAGTCACCACTCACCACTTATAGTGACTTGTGTGAGCTGTTTCGGCCGTATTCCGTAAGGTGGTTAAATAGTTAATACTATGTAAGTTCAATGTTTTTACTAAAAATTGATTATTCACATACCTAATATAACTTGTCAATTATTATTATTTAACAGTTAGTACTCGACAAAAGGATGGCCAATCGAACGGTTAAAGATGCAAAAACCATTCACGGGACAAATCCTCAGTATTTGATCGAAAAGATCATCCGGTCTCGTATTTACGACAATAAATTCTGGAAAGAAGAATGCTTTGCTTTGTCTGCCGAGTTGCTAGTGGACAAAGCCATGTTAATGCGGTTTATAGGAGGAGTGTTTGGCGGTAATATCAAACCCACACCTTTCTTATGTTTGACGTTGAAGATGTTACAAATACAACCAGAAAAAGACATCATCGTGGAGTTCATAAAAAATGAAGAATTCAAATACGTCCGCGCGCTTGGGGCATTTTATATGCGTTTGACAGGCTCGTCTGTGGATTGTTATAAATATCTGGAACCATTATTGGCTGACAGTCGTAAATTGAGAAGACAAAATCGTGACGGCCAGTTCGAGCTTATATACATAGATGAATTTATTGACTCACTGCTACGAGATGAGCGTGTTTGTGACGTTATATTGCCACGTATACAAAGCAGACATGTGCTGGAAGAAAACAATGAGCTGGAACCCAAAGTGTCTATACTTGAAGAGGACATAGAAGAAGGTGTTGAATCATCAGATGAAGAAGAGCCTACAGATAAAAGAAGAGAAAAGGAGCACAGAAATAAACATTCTCCTGTAAAAGAAAAAAGACGAGACAGAGAGCGTGAAAAGAGGAATAGAGATAGAGACCGAGATCGAAGAGATCGTGATAGGGGCGATAGAAGAGATAGAGACCGACATAGAAGAAGTAGAAGTCATGATCGAGAACGGTCAAGAAGACATAGGTCTAGATCACCTTACAGAAAGTAAAACAACAATTTCATTTGTAAATAAATGTATATTTTTTCAATAAATAAATAATTTGAATTCAATCAAAATAATCATCTATATCAATATTAGGATCTAACAAATCATCCATTAAATTAGTTACATCAATTTTGTTCAGTATTAAATTTTCACACATTTCTTCGAGATCAGTATCCCCAATAAGCATTGCACCAACTACTCTTCCGTTTTGTAATACTAATTTAATGTATTCTTGGCCGTTGGTTACACGAACTAACAGCTCACAATCCTTCTTTTCCAATCCTTGTGCATTATATAAACCTAGTAATATAACTTTAAATCCAAAAAATGATGTTACGTGAGTAAACAGTTCAAAACAAAAGTCTTGCAACAATGTTTCATTTATGTGTTTAGAATGCATGCACTTGGCAGCATACATTCCCATTTGTCTTGCTTGAGTCCACAGTCTCATTTGAAACCAATGTTCTGAAGTCCAATCTACTGTGCATACATCACCAGCTGCAAAAATATCTGGCAGATTTGTTTCCATTTTCCAGTCTACTTTAATACCACCATCGCCAGCAATGTCAACACTTGTACCGTCTCTTATATCAAAATTGCTATTCGGTGTTACTCCAGTAGCAGACACAATAAAATCACATTCATACACTTTTCCGTTAGTTAATTCTATCCTTACTAGATCGCTTTTAGAAATATTTTTTATTTCAGTCTTATACTCAATAATAACATTTTTACCTTCGCGGTTTCCAAACATTGCACCACAGTGCCAATCAGGACCTAGTGCAGCTCCAGAGGTACGTTCTCCAGAATACCTAAATCTTTTTATTACTCTGTCACTTGATTGCTGAGTGTTAAGGTAGTTACTAAAAAATTCTGCTGCTCCGGCATCCAGGAAATGTGAACTTATGTGTTCATCCCTAATAACCCAAATAATTTCAATACCATTTAACTTATACACTAAATCTGTTGCGATACCTCCATTACCAACAATCAATATTCTTTTAGCAGTACCAATAATTGATTGAAAGTACTCTACAGAATGTGTATCACGCAATCCAATAACATAATCTTTGTCTTCCAATAGTTTTGGAGTAGCGCCTGTACACAAACACAATTTTTTATACTTGATTTCCCGATGATTTGCAGTATAAATTATATGCTCTATTGAGTTAATTGCTATAATTGTATCTATTATGTATTCTGTATTCTCAATGCATTGGAGATTTCGATCCTCAACTTTGAATCCTGCGGCAATTTTAGTGTGAAACTTTATATCAGTGACCACTTTAACAATTGGTGTTTCTGAAATTAAAAGCACTGACTCTGTTGTATATAATTTCAAAGCTTCAACACAACTTATACCTGCAATACCTCCACCGATCACAACATAAGTGGAATCAATTTGCTGGTTCTGACTCATTGTGAAATTTATTATGATGATTACATTAATAGCAGTTACTCAGCTCTCATATTCTATCGAAAATAATTAAACCACAGTATCACACACATTTTATATTTATAATAAATTACCAAAATACAGGATGTATAAACAGAAAACAAATAAACATTTAAAAATTTTAAAACCTATTTAAGATTTTAACAAGTGATAACACTATCAATCCTTATAGAAAAGGGGGAGGGATTAATAAATCAAAAAATAATTAAAAAATTATATTTCGGTTACTATAAAAAACAATAACAATTTAATTTTGGTTATTATAAAAAACAATAACAATTTAATTTGTTTGTATAAATTTCATCATACCACACTAGTATAACATAAATGCAATAATAAGTTAAGTATTTCACAATTTTACAATTTATATTACATTGAGTGAGTAATAAATTAATATATAATTCATATTTGAATATTAATAACTATACAAGTACAATTCTCATGCCAATATTTTATACCTGGACAGTTATTAATACCATATTAATATATTCACAGTTTAAATAATTTATATTTTTCTTAAATAGTATGAATTCATATAATTACCAATATTAATGAAAAAACTAACTGTAAAAATATTTAACTAACATTCTTAATTTTTTTTTAATTTTATCTATTTAACATACTTTTCCAACATATCTGCAGATATAAAGAAATATAATATAGAGGAACTTATAAAGTTGAAAATGTATAACAATTATTTATAATTCTTAAGTATATTTATATATATATATTTACCTATTAATGTATAATTAGTATTATCACAAATTCTGGATTCAATTTCATACAATGGTTGATTTTAAAACATGGGAATATTAAATATAAATAATGAATCCTCTTCTTTTTTCATCCATTGTGTTAGTTTAGTTACTGCATTTGTTGCACATTCCTTAGAAACAAGTGGCTCAAAACTCATATACAATTCAACATCGTCAGTTGCCTAAAACAAAATTACTCATATCGTTTAACGTCCAATATAATTCTTCAATGAAATATAAGCATATTATACATAATTTATATACCCAAGCAAGCATAGTTTCAGCTGTTAATTGTTGAAAAATCACTTTCAATGTACGCCCAGGGAAATTCATTTGGCTGATCAATGAACTATATACTGACATGAGGTTTTGTTGTAGTTCAGTGGTATTATATGGGGAAGTAAATGGAGGGCACCAGTGTTGTGAGCGGTTTTTGTTCTTGTACAAAAGATGCCGTAACCCTGTAATATTTGCTCGTGCTAAACTGACGGGTTGGCGAATAATTGCTTCGTTGATTGCATGGAGACAATCATTGCAACGCATTTTCTATTACAAGAAAAAAACATTTATTTATTTATTATAAGTAAATAATATTTTCATACAGTCCAATAAATGACTGAAATGAAGCAAGATAAGTATAAAAACAGTAAGTAAATAAAACAAACTTCAGTGATTTTTCTTTTGGCATCTGATAGTGCAAAAAAAAGATTATGATCGATTGTTAACAAAACTAGACATGCTTGACAATCTTCTGCCAAATATGATATATGAGCATGCATGTAACCACTGAAAAAGTTATAAACACAAACACAAAGATGGGATTATTTTGATTTAACCTTTTGTTTAAATGTATTTAAAGAATATATTACCTAGAATCAAATGTAGGTAAACAAATAGGTGTCCAACTCTCTGCTGTTTTAAACGATTCTGTTGAATTGATTAGGTTTAATATTAAGTGAATATCAGATACATGCAGCGAGTATTTTTTCATACGTACAATCGATATTACATGTTTTTGAGCAATCAATAAACCAAATACTAAATTCTAAAAAAATTAAACATTTATTAACAACGAATAAAATAATTAAAAATATATCATTGTTTTTTTACTTTTATTTTACTGCATTGTGTCAATATAGTTTGAGTTATTTTATCTCTGCTACTAGATGGCATTTGTAGACAACTAATGGAATCTAATAAAAATCCTGGATCATTCTCAGTGAACGTTATAAGTTTGTCGATCAATCTTTCAGATCCACTCATTAATCGCCTCAAATCAAAATTAGTTCTATTGTGGAAGATTTTTTTTAATTGGGTTAATGTCAATGTACTAATTATATTGTTATAGACATATCTGAAAGCAAAACACAAATTAATTCAAAATTATTCATACTTTACTAATTTAGTTTTAGACGTATTTATGGTATATTATAAATTACGTTAATTGTTTTTTAATTTGGTCATTAGGCTCAGAAGATTGAGAAACACCGACCAGTATAAGAGGATCCTTATTTAAAAACACTATTCGAGTCTGACCACAGCAAATCGACTGCAATGTGTCATTTGAATCTTGGGTCACTGACACTAGAGCTATCATTAAACCAAAGAGGGAGGCCATTTGGTTTTCGTTTCCAAACCTATACACGAAATGTGTAAAAGGAAAATTAATAAAAGTTTTATTGTTGAGGAACAAATGCAATTTACTGGAAACCAAATATAATAATATTTTTTTTTTGTAATCTACATCTTAATAAAACATGAAGGTTGTCCGATCAACTGCATTTGTTCCACACATGTCTATTAACATTATATTTACCGTGTGTAAATAGGTTTACCGGCTGTACTTAAAACAAATATATGTTTGTTATTTTCTTTAAGTTGATCAAATAAAATATCATAAGAACTCCCCTGTTCTGAACTACTCGGTTCAGGCTCATTTTCAGTAACAGAGTTAGTAATTACTGTATCTTGTATTGCAATATCATTTATATCAGAAATCAGTGCGGTTGTGTCAGTTTCTTGAGTTTTCTCCATATCATATCCTAAAGAACAAATTTAATAAAAATCTCACTAAAATAATTATAAAGAACACATTTTATCATTACATTTCTGTTAGTTCATCGACAACAAAAACAAATTTTGCAGATTATACATCATACCTGGGTAAAAGAAATCCAATGATCAACATGCATAGAAATACCTAATGGTTTAATATAAACCGAATAACTCGATTCAGTAAAAAAAAAGTATATGGGCAATGGTAAGATAGGAAAACGATTTTGCCTCAAACTTTGGAACTTTTGATTGAAAACTTATAAAACAATAATAAACACCAACTCGATTCTTGCACAACCAATCAATCACAATCAGCAGATATATATATCATATCATTTGAGCTGGTGGCGAAAATTCAACACCAACGACCAGCACAGTCAGATGACGTTTATCTTAATTCTATGGTTTCCGATGACACAAAGACAAAGTTCACCGCCGAAAACACTCATCACTACGACTGGCCATGTCGATGTCGACAGTTAGCACTTGGCGGTCATCGGCATTAGGCACTTACAGTACTCGACAGTCGACAGGCGTCAGGCTCAGAGCAAAATTTATCGTTCAGAATGTTATTAGCGTAGATAAGACCACAGTGATAAAAATATTAATACAAATATTTTTATCATTATTATTATTTGTTTTCAATCCGTGGTGATAACGACGAGATAAACACCACTTTTTATTATAAACATTAAAAAAGTTGTTTGCTATGGAGATAAACGAGACCGCAAGCGCAAATGGGCGTTGGTCCGCGGTGCGCACGCGCATTTTCTGGTCAATTTGTTTTCTTATCAGAAAAGCGTATTCGTCGAGATTGATTGATAAACAAATATTCGGCCCGCAAAACGTCCAAGTCCCGGGTCGCGTACCTACTGTACCTCCAGCTATACATTTTGTCGCTTACGGAATTATCATAGCACCGGACAAAAAGTGTAAATTATTATTGTTGACATTAAAGGTGTTCAATATCGACGATTTGTCAATTTTTATTTTACAGTTGCCCGTTGAACCGGTTGACACGATTTAAGAATTCCAAACAACACTTTTTGTTAATGGCTATGACTCTGGGAAAGGATAACATGGGGTAAGTGTCGTTGTGTTTAATATGTTTATTTATTTATTAATCTATAATTTCGAAATTGAATTATTTACTTTAGAGAGCAGCCGATATTCACATGCAAGGCCCATGTATTCCACATAGATCCCAAGACAAAAAAATCATGGATATCAGCATCGACGGTGGCTGTCAATGTCTCATTCTTTTTCGACTCCCACCGGGCATTATATCGCATCATTAGTGTGGAAGGAAGCAAAGTATGTGTCTACTATCTATGTTTAAAGAATTAAAAGCTAATCATCATTAACAAATGTCTTTATGTTCACATATTTTAGGCCGTCATAAACAGTACAATAACTCCAAATATGTCATTTACAAAAACATCACAAAAATTTGGTCAGTGGACCGACAATAGGGCTAATACTGTTTATGGCCTTGGGTTTTCTTCTGAACAAGAACTGAATAAAGTATTAATTTAATTAATTAAACATTCTTAGATAACTATTTACATTTTAAATATAATGTTCCTGTCATAAATAATAAATACCATCTAATTATTTTATTAGTTCATACACAAGTTTGAAGAAGTAAAAGAAAAAACAAGACAATCGGCAGTAAGTGGACCACAGCAGATTCAACAAGCGTTTATGAGTTCAACAACACCAATTACAAGTGCTAATGCTAGTCCTGTAACTACTCGTATTAGTCAGTCATCTGACGGTCAAAGTATTATTGAACCTCCCAACATGACACCCACAGATCCAAATACTACCCCGGAAGATACTAATTCAACTGAACAAATGATTAACCAGATGTCTAAAACTATGATTTCCAATGCTAATCATGTAATGAATATTAATACTAACATTTTATAACAATTGGATTCATCAGACAATTTACATTTTATATCTAGGCCGCGGAGAGTCCAAAACATCAAGGAAGCAATGATGGACGCATGAGTGGTGGAAATTCAATGTTACCTGAATCTCAATTAAAATATGAAAATGAAAGATTAAAATTAGCTTTAACTCATAGGTAAAATTATCGTTAATAATTTAAAATTCGGAAAAATCTTTTTATATATATTTGTCATGTCCTTCTTTTGTATTTAGTTCAGCAAATGCAAAAAAATGGGAAATTGAACTTCAGACACTAAAAAACAATAACTTAAGATTAACCAATGCATTACAAGAAAGCACAGCTAATGTAGATGAATGGAAACGTCAATTGCAATCGTATAAAGAGGAAAATCAACGATTAAAAACTAGGTACCTTGACGCTGAAGTAGCCAAAGGTAAATTGGTTTATAATTTATGCTAACAAATTAATAATAATATTTAAAACATTGAATAATATTTTACTCATTATCTTTAGGAGGATCAGAAGTTGCTTCAGAGTTAAGAAATGAGTTAACTAGTCTACGCTTAAAAGTTGAAAACCTCGATGGCGAATTGAAAAGTAAAAATGAAGAAATCCAAAAAATGAATATGAATAGAATGCCACTTGAAGAAAAATGCAAGGTAATAAAAAAAACTGAACTACTCAGATTATTAAAAAGAAAATAAATTAAAACATTTTTTTTATTTTAGGTTCTCAGTCAAGAGAACGCGGAACTTCAAGCTGCTGTCAGTCTAGCACAAGCACAATTGGAAACAGCTTTGGCAGCACAAGAATCCCAACGACGTGTTATAGATACACTCAACAATAGCCTATTTGTCCGTATACAAGAATTGGCTGCAATACACAGAGAAATGACAACTGCTATTCAAACCTAAGGTATAATGATTTGTGAATAGTTAAATACTTAATGATTGGTCATAGAAAGCAATTTAAAAAACTTTATTAATTTTTTAAAACACATAATTATATCGTTTTTTATTTCTTTTATTCATATAAAATTGTTGGGTGACCATTATTGAATAAATCAGTGAAAACGATAATATTTAAGAAAGACATCTAGGTCACAAATGTATATAAATAAAATTATCTTTTGCTAATTTTGCATATTTATAACTTTATTCAATTTTTAATTTCTTGTATGTTCATTATTTTTGATTGATTAAGGTTTAGAAATAAATTGTGTATAAATTTGTATAATCTTGAAGAAAGCTTATGAACCAGAAGTATTCATACAATGTAACCATTAAGTACTGTTATAATTAGTGCTTGGAAGTTATAGGAATTAAAACCAACAAATATGCAAAAAAAACTACAATATTTTATTATTCAAAATTCAAAAACAATTGTATTTACTAATTGCTGTGTCTAGATAATTATGATCAGAAGGATAAAGTATGTCTGACCAGTGTCAAAAACTTACATACACAAATTAACAGAATATAATAAAATATTATTTTTGCATATAGTCTTAAATCATATTATAATATATTTGATTTTGTGATATCAACTTGTGTTGCTAAAATAATAAAAAAATTAAAATAAAATCTTTCATTGTACAAAAGATTGTATGTGCCACAACTTTTTTAATTTTTAAAAAAAATACATTATTACATTTAAGCTTTTTGGCTAAAAAACTTTTTTTACCAACATATTATCTATAAAAAAACTTAAAAATTCAAAAATATTATTTTGAATGAAAGTTATAGTATTTATGTTACAGTGAAATGTTGAAGTTTCTACCATTTTTACTTAAATAATAATGAAAAAGAAAAAAAAACAACAGAAATAAATGAGGAAAAATTTTTGTCATCAGTTTTATGTTTGCCTGCAATTGCATCAAGTAAAATAAACACTTAAAGTTTTTATACTATATTAAAAATATTAATTAACATGGTAAATAACAAGGATATTCTGCACATGGACACACAAAATATGGTGATGCTACCTTATATACTTTACGATGATTATGATTTATCATGATATAATATTTTAAATAACTTATGGCAAATGGTAGTTGGTATGAATTGTTTTTGTCTGCTAACAAATCTAATACATGGGCCCCAAATATATGAATAGTTACTTTTAAAAATGTTTTAATTAATTATCATTTAGTTATAAATAAATATCACAAAATTAAATATATGATACATCTTATGCCAAAATAATATATAATAATTGCATTCTGCTTTTTCATATATGTAAATTGTTGACACTGGTCAGCCGTGTTATATCTTACCGACTATGGTCAGGCATTAAAATAATTATTAGTAAGTTTCACATAAATTAATTGAACATTATCAAACATTTTCTTAATAGTAGAAAAATCTGCTTTTTGTTCTCTCAATAAGTTAAACTGAATACATAGATAATGAAAAAGAAAACATTTAAAAACTGTTTATAAATTTAACATTTAAAATTTTTGGTTATTATTATAACATCGTTTAAAATTAATTCTTCCTTGGTCTGCTATAAAGCAAACCGTAGAAAAAATATTTGCAACTCGTCCAACTTCCGAGCCCTAGTTATATATTGCAGTTTGATCAAATTCAAATGCATATTATTTTTCTTCGGACTTAACTAGTTTAATTAGTTGCTTTTAGTGATGCAGAGTATTTTTTATTTTGTTGATAGCCAAATCAGTATCAATATCTATAATTAATCATCAAATAAAATGCTTTCTTTTTTTATGTAAACCAAAAATTAAAAAAAGTTTATGCGCCTATGAATGATTGATTTACAATAATACTACTACAAAATATACATTTGTAAAAATTACTGTGCAAAAATTAAAATAAGTATTATTTTTAAATAGTTAAAAATTAAGTATAAATATTATTTTAAAAAAACTAAGAAATGTAATGAATATTGAAATGAAAAGAGAATCAAAATTAACATTTTTTGATATTGCCCATCATTAGTTCCTTTGCGCTATAATACTAAAAATGATTTTGAGATGTATGAGAAAAATATTGTTAATTAACATTTATAGTGCTATATAAACATTTTTATGTGCAATTTATTTATTAAGATTTAAGAGCTTATAAAATTATTCGGCCTAAATTTAAAAAGTATTACAATTGTTATTTTTTTTTTTTTTTTTACAAGAAATATACAATCTATACAATTAAACACAATGAGTATATGTAAGAAGGGAATAAAAAATAACATTTTTGCAGATAATTCGATAGCTGGATAAAAAAAATAAATCCTAAATTTAAAAAGTTCGTTCGTTGTTATTTTTTTTTTTTTTTTTTGATGTATTATTGTAATCATTAGACTACTTTTACAAGTCTAATTATTTCCTTCTCTCATTACAAATGTACCTTTGGTATTTTTGACTATTTGTTTGTTATGATAGTAAAATTTTTTTATTTATAATGATCAAAATATTTATTAAAGAAATGTTGGCGGCTTACCGTAATATAATAAAAGGTGCAATGTGTTATGCTATTGTTTTTAATTTTTATAATATCTTGAGTGTATTTAATTTTCAAACATACAATAATCAAAGCCATTTGTATGTTTATAGATACATATTAAATTTGATTTTCTTTTATGAAGAAAGATCTTACTTACCAAATTTATATTTTAAAGTATGTAGTTCCATTTTTTAATAATTTTAGTGTTGTTCACTTCATTATGCTAATAGGTTTTAATTCATATTACTGTATTAAAACTTCATTTATAAATTATGAAATTATATTTTACACTACTACATATTTTTAGTTTTTTCGACTGAATTAATTTATTTTTCCTTTTTATTGTAAATATATAATGCCATAAATAATATGATACTTATTTCCTAATTAGAATTTCAACGATAACATAAATACCTAAATTATTAATTATAAACATTTGGCTTCCTTGTGGTTCAAAATATTGTAGCAATATTATATTAAATAGTTTAAAATTGTTTTAGTGTAGAATAATACTCAACTTAATAATAATAAATTTATTTATCATTTAATGTGATAAATTATAATATTGTGTTTGCAATTTATTGTAAACGTATGTAATTAGTCAAAAATGATATGAATCATAAGATGTAATCATAAGCTTTTAGAAAATTGTAATACTCATAGACATTATTTGTATATTTAAATTTTTAATAATATTGCATTGAGTATTTATTGTGTATACTTTGATTATAGTGTTCATGTATAAGAAATGATCAAAATATATTCAAAAAAATATTTATTTTTTATTACAACCCATAAAAGGCTGACAAGTTTGATCTGACATGTGAATTTATAAAAATAAAAATTCAACTAGTGATAAAGGTGTTGTAGGATTGTATGAAGCCATAAATTATAAATAAATAGTAAAACATTTTTTTTTCTTTCTGAGAATTGTTTTTATTTTATTTTGCTCGTTTTTTCATTTTTATCTATCACATTCAACTTTCCTAAAATGTTTTAAGCTAATATTTTAGATAATATATAAAATTCGATAAGTCATTATGTCATCAAGCTTTTTGTTAATATTTTAATTTAAGGTTTATAAAAATAATTGCATGTATTTGTGCCAATTACACCTGTTATTTTAATATATACATTTAATATGTTTATTTTATTCCTACTTAATTGTGTATTCATTACTGAATAATTCTAATTAATTTTAAGTTTAATTATATTATGCATTTGTACCACAAATCATAACATTTTAGTAACATGATTTGAAATTTTATTTTATCTTATATTTATTTAAATTTGTTTTTTTATCTAATATCATTGAGTAAATATTGTATATATGATATATACTCAATGATAATATGCATATTGCATAATTATGTCAATGAGTCAAATAAATATAATTAAGGCTATTTAAAAAATGTATGTAATATATTACATTATTTTTCCATTATAAAATTGATATTAAGTAGCTAAAACTTAATTTTTAATTATTGATAATAAAAATATATTTAAAACATTTTGGCTTTTGTGAACAAAAAAAAAGATTATTCCACTAGCGTGTATATATTATACAATACATTTAAGGATTATTAGTATTATACTGTTGTAAAATTCCAGTGGCTTTTCTATAAATAGTTATATGATCTAAGTACTGTTGAATGGTGTCCAGTGGTTGAAAAATATCATTCATACGATTCTGAAAAATACATTATAAAAATACATCACTATAATTCAAATGTCAAATGATACAGTAAAACTTCCATACAACGAAGTCGAATAAGCAACAAAAAAAATTCGTAATATGGATGAATTTGTTAAATAGAATTACACTTTTTTCCAACTATTTTTAAAAATTGTATTGTATATAATATGTATATACTTCTATGCTGTACATGTTATGTAAAAAACAACATTAAAATAAAATATTACAAGTAAACAGTAAAATATAATATTACAGTTTAATTTAGTTTTTAATTTTATAATTCAAAAGATATAATTAGTGAGTTTTGTTTGCTTATTATTTTTATAAATGGTCCTTTTTTCGTAAAAAGTTTCTATATCATTAAGTTTTAAATACTGCAATAAAACTAATGAGTTTGCCTACCTCCGGTGTCTTTATCGGATATATTGTTCATGTACAATTTTAAAACTGTGTTTAAAATTTGATAATGACAACATTTACAAAACCAGTTTTTATCGAATAATTTTTCGTTATTTGGAGATAAATTTAAGTGTCATTAACAATGAAGGTCATGATTCTCAAAAATAATTCGTTAAATAGAAAATTTTGTTAAATGAAAGTTTGTTGTATGGAAATTTCACTGTATTCATAATAACGAAAGTATTATAAACTCCATTCTACCATTCTCTAAATTAGTAGTTCAGTAAAAATCAAATAAGTCCCATTTTTCTAATAATTATATAATTAAAATTAAATAGTGTCCAACCTCTAACATTTTGACTAATATAAACTGTACAATATACAAAATTTGTGACTCATGTTTCTCAATCGAAAAGTAATATTTGATCAAAATTCCTCATTCTAATTGAGGTAGTACATCAAACATTCCTAATTATATATTGTTGTGCCGTTTCTGATGGTAAATAGAAAAAGCAAAATAAGTGTCACCATATTCATTCAGAACCTAAGATGTGTACATAAAATGTTTTTCTTTGTTCATTAATTAGGTAAGACTTATAACGATCTTAAATTGATATCTTGCTAAATTAATACAAAAACATATTTTATGTATGAAAATTCTTTAAGGAACATAATTTTTACAAAAATAAGTTTTTTTATAATTAAGAATAACTGTATTTTGTTCCCAACAAATGTATGTAACTGTTTAAAAAAGTTAGTATTTTACTTACTTGAAAATAATGTGGCGGGATATTTGATACGCAAGATCCTAAAAATCCTTGAAGAAATTCTCGTAACATATCCCAACATAAGCCAAATACAACACATGGCCTATATTCTGCCTGAAATAAAAATTAAACAGCATTAAAACCATGACAAATTGACAAGTATAAATTATACATGAATGCATCTAGAAATGAGTTCCATAAGTTATATTTTACTATAATTATAAATATAAATACATAGATATTCTATAAATTATAATGAAACAATAAATTAATTTATGTAAATGTATAAAATATTTTATGAAGTTTGAACATTTCTTAATATTATTATTAAAAAGACACATAAGACAAATCACATTATTTATTACCTCTACAATTATGCCTTTAACATTGTGATTAATATTTATAGCACCGATTTTAATAACAAAATCGTTTAGCTCAAATCTTGGACCTCTAATCTCAACTTTTGATTTTTTAGAAGTATATACAGATGACATTTTTAACAAAAGCAAATCAAATAATGCATCTGCTACAACAGGCACAGTTTTTCCAGTACCATTATCAAGGATTGCAAACACTGATGCTGGCTGTTCCGAATTATGAAATACATGTAATGTTCGTTGAACACCTAGACATGAATTTTGTTTTAAATAATTTTTACCAAATTTAATATTACTATGATATAACTCACCTAATTGAGGTATAGATGCGTATGTCTCACAGTCCACAAGAAATGTTCCACATTGTTTGGCACCAAGTGCATTCACTCTTTTGGTAAGAAATTCAATTATCTGAGCACCTGTACGATTTTCTTTCATCGGGAACTGTTGTATACTACAAACATTCAAAATAAATACATACAAATTTTCTTAATTTCAAAATAAAAAATCTGAAATACTAACATTGTAACACCCATGTTGAGATTTGTAAAATATAAACCTCCTATATAACAAAATTGTATATTACATTTTACAATATTAACACAAGAGTACACATTTAAAACGCCGATATTTGATATAACAAAACTGTATTCAATATTATGTATGAAAATCAAAATTTCTAATTGAGTATTTTTGGTGCTAATTTTTACCAACTAAGTACAACTTGGAAATTATTCGGAATTAATTTGCAATAAAATGTTATTATTTGCCGCTGTTGTCACTTACAACTCAGTTAAAAGTGAACACCAAACAATTTCAAATTTTAATGATTACCCAGAAGTGCAGAATACAATATTTCTACTCTTTTCGGTTTGTTTGTTTGGTTACAAAAAAAACGAAAATATCCCCCGACTTGCTATGCAACACCAGTACACCACCTCATAGGGTAACCACCGGGTAAACGCTCTTATCATTTTCGGACAAATGCTTATCACTCTTACAACAAAATATGTACAGTACGGCGCCATCTAGGTCTGTGGTTATTGGTTATCGGTTATCAGAGCAATAGTCCAGATGGCTTACCAATATTATCCAAACCGTTTTTCCCATAGATCACGAATTAAGATATACGGTATATTATCTTAATTCGTGCCACAGATATATCATATATAATATGCAATTGTATATACCAGTGGTTTTTTAACCTTCCCAAACATTGCCTACCTTTAATATTACCTGTGTACGATATACCTACCTAATAATTACAATATTTTTTCGACGAATCTTGTGTATAAGTTATGGTAGGACTATAAAAACCAGTGGCAGTTTTGATACAACATCAAGGGGGGGGGGCTATTTTCAATTTTTGGGCCTCTCCCCACCATAATTAAAGCAATTCAAGCATTTAGTGTAATTTTAATTTAAAAAAGGACATGCAAAAAATATCCAAGGGTGAGGGATGAGCGCCCCCTTCGCCCCCCTAAAAACCGCCACAGATAAAAACAGACGGTGCATTTTTCCGGTTATAAACCTGATGTTCGGTAACCTAACCGGTAGACTGTGGACACAATTAATTGTTCAATTTTAAATTTACATTGAGTTGCCAAGCTTTTTTAATCAAAAACAAAAATTGTATCATACAATAAAATAACAATTAAAAAAGTTTAGAATATAAAATGTCTATAATTTGCACAAAAAGACCAACGGTGGATGGTGGAGACAAAGATGGACTGATGAACGACAGAAACTGAAAATTTTATTTTTCGAAAAGTCATGATGACACCAAATGTAATACATAGACCCAGCGTCACCTGTTTGGATGGTTAAAATCAAAAACATTCCTAATTTTGTATGTAAAACCACCTTGGGTAGCCGCAGTTGCGCAATTAGAGTTAAATCTTGGGGGTGCTATCATAATGTATCGTTCAGCAAAGCAACTCCCCCCCCCCCCTCCAACATGACATACTACCGTTATTTAGATTATACTACTGTTCACAATTGAGCAGGAAATTGAATACCGTTAATTGAAAATACAACTTACACATTTTTTTTTTTTATACTATATTTTATTATGCCAAACATAGTTTCCTATCAATACATGCAAATGTGTTCAATATTTTTTCATTACAATGTCATGAGCTAAGTCTCTCTCAATATTTATAATACTTAAATTAGTAAAGCGTTACTGTAGCGTGTTGCTCGGCAGCCAATTTTACAATCGCCTCATAAAAGAAAAACTTCGTTCGCATGTCGCAGAACTGACAGGTATGGGGTTAATGCAACCAGCATTAACTCGTAAAAGTTTGGAAAAAAATTTTTAAAAAAAATACCATAATTATTATTAAAACCATAGATATTTGAAATTACAAAGACATAGAACTTGGGGGTGCTTAAATTAAAGTTGGGGGTGTTTAAGCACCCCCAGCACCCCCGTAGTTGCGCCACTGGCGTAAATCTCGAGGACTCGAGGTAACGACAAACTTCGGAACAACTTTCCTTAATTTACCTCCCGGAAGTAGAAATAGTCAACGGTCAACCTAATTTGAGCAGTAATAACTACTGTAATATATCTACAACATTGATTCGACGTAACTTTTGAACACTTCCTAAATTTCAGCTATTTTTTTCAAACACTTGAATTCAGTATACTAATAGGCACTAGTACAATAGATAGTGCACGTATTTTGGGGGGGAAAACTTGAAAAAAGGGTGTTCGATAATGTAGACTTATACAGTTATACCAATCCAATTTTTTAAATAAACTTATTATTTTGTAGTTAAACAATTATAAAATGATTAATTTGTATAGCTAAGAGGAATTGAAAATTGGAAACTCTCATAAATAGTCCACACTGTGACCAATAAATCTAAAATATACATAAACACAGTTATTTTTTACAGATATTTCAAGTTAAAATGATTAAAACCAAGAATCACGATTCAGCTATTTTCGTGAGTACTTGAAACTTTTAGAGTAAACATTATTATATTGGCGAACACTATCTATACAGTATACATTATACGCACAATGACATTTTCAAATGCAATTTTTTTGGTGTAACTTAATTTAACCTTCCATAGCACTATCAGGGGCGTATTTTCAACTTTTTCTGGAGGGAGGGGGTCCAACAATTTTATAGGTATTAACATTAGAAAATTGTTATTTATTAATTGTTATGCTTAACGTCTTTGTATAAAACTATAAACACCATCTAAATTGCAGTATAATAATATAATATCAAATCAAAATTTCAATATCTCTAACCATCCTTTTTTTTTGATTCTGGGGATGGGGGTCCAGTACCCCTGAGAACTTTAATACCTAATAGGCAATAGTAAAATAAATTACTTTAATCTCAATTATATAATACAATTTACTTAATACCTAATATTATAGGCTGACGGACGACCTTCGCCCTACTTATACTTAATCGAATTCAAATTTAACACATCCATAATCGATTACGGTGATTCTCTAGACACCTGATGTACAGCAGAGCATTGCCCAGTTACCCGCTTTTAGGTTAGTAAAGTTGTTTGTATTACTGTTGATTATAATGACTAATGAGTAATGAGTAATGACCAATCACTATATGCAACTTTATGTCACTACAATCACTATCAATAATATACAGGTTCTTGATGCATAGAGTTTTTCAATACCTACCTATAACTTATAAATTATAATATAGCAAAATTTGTTAGTTCATCCTGTGAAGTTGTGTTTTACTATTGTCTATTACGTATATTATAATTATACTATTAACAAACTTAAGCTTTTAGATAGTTGATGGATCATTGATTGATTCACTAAATCTAGAATAGTCATTTGTTCATAAAATAATTTAGTTATAAATGAAATTTTAAGGTAATTGTATATGGAAATATTGTCACTTGTTGTGGAGTTGTGGTGTAATCTTCTAAATAATGTTAAATGGGTGTTAGAAACAAAACATTTTTTAACTAGTTAGCAGTTTACAATATGTATTAATATGTACAGTGTACACTTAAACTATCTATTACATTTGTACTCTATTTTTTTTTAAATATTTCCATCGATGTTACTCATTAACATTTAACTTACATCATTTTTGTATACTTACTCACTATATTTTATCAATAGTTGCGAAATGAACTTCAAATGTGAATAATTCGAAACGTTCAACTTCTCTTTCAATTATTAATGATTTACTTTCAATCATGTATATTACTTTAATAGTTATACCTATATTTGTATGTCATTCCATCACAAAGTTACATATATTCTATATGTCGTTATTAATAATAATATTAATAATAATACGGCTCGATATTCAGGAGAATATTTATAAAAAATCAAAACAACACGAATATCTCAAACTAATTTATTACTACACGTCTTACATTTACGTCATGTCATCATTGAAAATTAAAGTTCTATATTACAATTAACTCATGAATAAAATGTACTTTTCAGATTTTTAAATTATGACAAAAATATTAATATTATATTAATTTAAAAATTATGAAATAATAAAATAAATAATTTATTTTTCTTATATAAAAAAAAACTTAACTGATATACTATGATAAAAAAAAAAAATTAAACTCTAGAAAACAACTAATAAATACACTTGTGAGGTATTAATAAATAAAATGACTAAATACAATATTGAATAAATTATAACAGAAAACTATAGGACAGAAGTGGGAAGTAAACGTGCGCACTCAATATTATATTATAAATTATTAAAATAAATATTCTTATCATAATACAAAATATCTCAATGCCATATTTGTGCCATCATATATATGAACAGTGAATGTATTTAAGAAAGTTTAAATTATTTGGCAAATAAATGTCACATTTTGAAACTTTATCAAGTCATCTATAATCGTCAAACGATGAGTCCTAGAATTCTCATCACTATCATACATATCAGTCATTTTCTTAATAGGTAGGTAACTATTAAACCTAATTTCTACTGACTATACTTATAATATAATAGTAATTGTATTTTAAGAAAACATTAATGAAAGTTTTATATTATCCCGGGACTCAAAGAAGTCGGTAGTGACATTTTTTATTTTTACTTTTCAAACTCAAAACAAGTAAATCCTAAGTTCAATGCATATTAAAGAAAATTATACAAAGTAATTTGTGATGAGAATACTAGAATACGTTATTCGTTTAAATTGTATATTTTATATGGACAAACAAAGTAATAAATATCATAGTTTTTAGAGTTATTCGTGAACTCTCAATATCATTATACAAAATGTGATTAATTGCAAATATACTCTTCCTTTTTATACCTACAAATTTCGCAAGCAACATTACAACACCAAATGAATTTACATTTACACTTCTCCTCTACGTCCCTTAATCTAATTTGAAATCCTCTGTGACAACATAGATGTCTGCAGCCATCTAATCCTTGACATACACGATCATAAGTGCCCATTATGCTCAATCTGTATTAAAAAAAAAATATTTAATTAATATGCTTGTATCGTATACTGCTGTAGATATACATTTAAAATAAAAACTACTCACGATTCATTACGTTCACAATAGTCCGGGGATGTATCTAAGTACACGAGTTCCGTTTTATTGGGTGTTTTTCTGTCCATTCTGATTGGCCGAAGTTTTTTAATTTTCTTTCTCTTCTTTTCACCAAGTCGTACATGTGAAGCGCCTTCATATCTAACCATCAACGAATCTCCAATATCCCGAAATGATGAAAGTTTCATCCAACAAATGCGTACGCTACATGAACCTGACATACCATGACATTTGCATACTTTTTGCATACTAGAGCGAATAATCTAGAAAATTAAATGTAGTCTTAATAATTAAATATTATAATATACAAACATTGGAAGGCAATATAATTTTTAAACTATATTTTGATAAAATAATAACAATGCAGTTTCATTTGTATATGTCAGAGTTTATGACA